CACTACTACTACTACTACTATGCTATATGCCATTATAACTACTACTACTACTACTACTGCTATTACTACTACTACTACTACTACTGCTACTGCTACTACTACTACTACTACTACTACTACTACTACTACTGCTACTAATACTACTACTACTACTTTAAACTGGAAGGCGTCATGTAGCTTTTCTGAAGTATGAGCAATAACAATGTTTGATCAAAAGAAAGGGCGTGTAGATCTATGTCTTTGTATCAAGAGCCCATCAACAGCATCAAGACACTCACCCTGAAGGGCATTTTTGCTTGTGGTTTTTTTTAATAGACTGTATAATAGTTTTTAGTGAAGGTTTATTTTTGTGCGATTTTTATCCTCACGTGAGTGATTGTCGCGTCCCTGTCTGTAACTGCTGGATGGTGGTGGTGGTGGTGGTGGTGGTGGTGGTGGTGGTGGTGGGCGGTGGTGGTGGTGGTGTGTGGTGGTGGTGGTGGTGGTGGTGGTGGTGTTGATGGTGGTGGTGGTGGTGGTGATGGTGGTGGTGATGGTGGTGGTGTTCTTGCTGGTGGTGGTGTTCTTGCTGGTGGTGGTGTTCTTGCTGGTGGTGGTGGTGTTGGTGGTGGTAGAAATGGCTGATTTTGTTAGTTGGTTGTGGTCGTTATGGTTGACTATGTAAGTTATTATTGTAAGCTATTGTTGTTATTGGTATTGGTGGTTGTGGGAGTGACGGTGGTTGTAAGAGACAATTTTGGTTGTTGCTTCCGTTGGTCGTGGTTTGGCAGTGGCTGTTATAGGAAGCTGTGGTTATTGTTGGTGATGATTGTTGTTATTATTGGTGGTGGTTGTGGTGGTGATTGTGGTTATGGTGGGAACATTAGCAACCACTTTCACTCTGTTTAAACTAAGTGTATTTGTTGACACTCAGAAGACGACGTCTCTGCCACTATATTTAATCAAGATCTTAACGACCATTAGCGGAGATTTTCTTGACAATTTGCAAAGAAATATCTTACCATTGGCAATTATTTTGTAAATTCATGAGAATTTCGAAGAAATGGAGGATATTTTGTTAAATTCAGTGAGATGTTCGAAGTGATGTGTGGTGTGTGTGTGTGTAATGTGTTGTGTGTGTGTGTGTGTGTGTGTGTGTGTGTGTGTGTGTGTGTGGTGTGGTGCTGTGTGTTCACCTAATTGTGGTTGCAGGGGTCGAGATTCAGCTCCTGCCCCCGCCTCTTCACTGTGTGTGTGAGAGAGAGAGAGATGGCCCTTAAACGTTCTCATTGCTAAACGTTAGTCACTGGTCATGCAGTAATGACGTAACTGGAGTTTATTCCCCCCATCTCCCCGCCCTTGGATTTCATGGGGGTGACACCAAAGATTCCGCCCCGGGTGACACCAACCATAGCGACGCCACTGTTCTCAACAGACTCGAGTACCGTAAAAAAAAAAGAGACAGTATGCGGCTTAAGTCTTTATCTGATTATTTTTTACCCCTCCTGCTTTTATCAACATTGAGCAAAACATCGTCAGAATTACAGATTAGCTCTGCAAACTGTCTTTTTACTATACTCATAACCATCTGCCTGTTCAAACCAGATGCAAATATCCTCAAAATGTTCAACTGATGAAGGAGGGTGTGCATAAGCGCCCTCTTGTCCATGTTGGTGACAAACATTCACACACACCCCACTGATTCTCCCAGCCTTTTACCTACAATAACAGGCAGAAAATGTGTGTATAACTACATATTACCGATTCATGTATGCATTATACACAGCATATACAAGCTTAATTTGATTAGGGAACAATGTACAGGAAAGCGATAAGTTCTCTCGGCTTTATTTTGGTAAGGTCAGCAGCAGTCAAAGTAAAACGTTAATTCACCTCTCGCTCGTTACTTTCTACAATTACCTTGCAAATGAAATGAGAAGCCAAAACACACACCCAATCTCGAAATTCTCCAAGAAAAAAAATTGTGCAATATCGTTACGTAATTTACAAGCACACTTTTGTAAAATCAGTCTCGCTTCAAGTGCGTGAAAAAACATAATGATATTTGCGCAGCTCGACGGAGGAAGGAGCTGGAGAGCTGAATACACTGCTGATATTTGCTTGCATGCCGCAGCTTCTGCTTCAGGGTCCTGATGCGTGAGACTTTTTGGAGGAGCAACCAGTTCCACGCCTCTTATGCTCAGTGGGGAATGCTATCGCCTCTCTCTTCCTTCCACGCTGTGAGTAAATGTAACTTACTTCACCCTGGGATGAAGAAAGGCTTGGCTTGCATATCATGCTGTAATCTTCCTCGTTCTCAATACTCCACGAGGCGGGACGGGGAAAAGCCGATGACTCTCTTACACATGACTGGAGGAGCTAAGTAGTACGCTGATTGATGTTATGCTTGCTTCCATGCCTTCTGTTACTGATAGCGGTAGATCTTGATGTGCTTGTCTGCCATGAGCTGACAGTTTCCTGCCACTGATCGTGACAGTGATGCAGAAGGGTGCGTTCGGTCCCTGTTGTATAACTGACCAGGATAACATCATATAACTTTG